AAATTTGTTGATTCAAAAAATTTGATGATTTAATGTAGTGTTTAGATCATGAAATGTGTGTAATGTACATGTAGTACGTAGAAGCATTGAATTGTGGTGATCACAAATTATTCCAAAAAAACAATGATTCATTTAGTCGAAGAAAAGTGTGGAGATTTGGTATATTACAATAAAGTAAATTTGGTGAGTCACGCCTTTCATTACTGTATGCTAAATCGTTACATTATCATTATTATACATTGAACAGTAATGTAATAGTATATTTTACATGATGGCAATTTAAAATTAATATAGATGTGATTTTCAAAATCAAATCTCTATTTCCAATGCATATCTATCTTATTTCTTCCAAATTTATCACCGGATTATATCATGTTTCTACTCAGGGATGGCAATAAAAACTCGTTCGACCCAATACCGTGGGCCTCGCCCCAAATGGGGCCAAAATTACCTGCCTAGTCTAATGAATGGGACGAGGACGGAGCCAAGGTCATTGCCTCGAAACGGGTACGTTAAATATAGTCTCTGCTTCGCTACCCGTCTCGTTTAAAGTTAATTTTAAATTTTAATTTTTTATCAAACAAAAATAAAATATTTATCAATATTTTTAAAGAGAATATGAGTTGCTATTAATAAATTGAAAAAAAAAATTAATAATATTTATTAACTAAAGACAAAAAAATCTAAAAACAAAAAATAAAATAAATAAATAACAAAAAATAAACGGGTGCGATAAATGGGTTAGGGACTTGCAACGCCCTACCCCGATCTCGTCCCAAACCGCTTTAATTGGTATGGGGATGGTGCTAGTTAACGAAAGATATCCAATGGGATGGGGCCAAGAATGGCCAACCTACCCCTGTACTCACTTCGTTGTCATCCCCATTTGTACTTTTTTTATTAAATACTATAATTTATGAATATAGCAATGTTATTAAAATTGACCCAGTCTAACCGGTTTAGTCGGTAGAATCGAGAATCGAATCCAAAATCAAGGCCAATCATGCCTGGTTAATCGACTTGCACAAAAGTCGCTCATAACCCATCGAGCCGATCAATTTAACCGTGAACTAGTGAATTGATGGCAGTCATACTAATTTTTAATTTACAAATTTTGAACATTTTTAACTAGCAATGTTATTAAATTTGGCCCAACTCAACCGATTCAGCTAGTAGAATCGGGAATCGAATCCAAAATAGGGCCAATCATGCTTGGTTAATCGACTAGCACAAAATCGCTCATAACCCACTGAGCCAATCAGTTTAACCGTGAACTGGTGAACAGATGGCAATTATACTAATTTTTAATTTAAAAATTTTGAATTTTTTTTTTATGGGCCTCATACACTATACGGAATGCTCATTTTATATATGTACTTCTCTCAAATGATTTCATAAACTTTTAATGTCGGATAATGGTATTATAGATGAATTCCTTTTAAGAGTTTTCATAGACTTTCAATGTGGAATAGCGGGATAGCCAAAAAAAAAAATAATAATAATAATAAATAAATAAATAAATAAAATGCCCATCAAAACCATTTTCCAAGCCAAATATGTGATTTTGAAAATCCTAGCTAACTAAACTTAATATCCACTTTTATGTTTTCGTTTTTTTAATTTTCAAATTTAACTTAAATTACACTTGATAATGAATTTCATTAACAAACATAGATTTACTCTGAATTATTAATATTAAAATTTTTAAAAAAAATTATTGATTTCATAGTATTTTATTATTTGTACGTATTTATTTATTTATTGCATTCAATTCGATCTTGATTTGACCTTGGTTGAACCTTTTGACCCTTTCACCCTTCACTTTTTCTTGGTCGATTCTCGAGTCTAGGAATTTAGTACTCATATCTGTTTATTACAAAATATTGTTGTTGTCGAATATTTTGACATTACAATTTCAATATTTTAGAAGAATATTAATATATTGTTTTTGAAGAATGAATAGTAAAATATAACTCGCTCTCAAAGTAGCACATGTTTCAAAAAATATTATGTTTATAGTTGAATAATCATAAATTTATACACTTCAATGTAAATATTGTATGGATACTAAAGAATTGCAATTTAAATTAAAGTTGTTTTAAGGAGGCTAAGGTTTATTTATATTAGTATTTCAGAAGAATATTATAAGTGTCAATATTGTGTGATGTGAAGGGACTAACTTACTAGTACTAATAGTTTATTCTCCACTAAATAAAAGAGAATCTACAATAATTTTCATTTATTAAGGGGAACAATCATTAATTTTCTTTGTTAGTGAATGACCGTTATATCATTGCAGTCCTAATTATTTCCTCTAAATACGAAGTTTTGATTCTCAATGAAGTACGTAAGTCTATCTGATCCGAACCTCGTAGCAACAATGACTACAAAACCCACAACTAAATTGATGCGGAACCCAAGAATACCAATTAATAACCCGATTTTGGATTTGAATCCAACAAAGTGAAACAAGAAACCCAAAGATAACAATGATGCAATGAACCCCTCGCTTACACAATTGAAAAACCCACAATCAGGAGTTGAACGCCACAAGAATTTCTCCTTGATAAGTTCGATTTATTGTCCAATTGGAAGAACAATGAAGAAAGCAATAATCTCTTAATTACCAAAATGTCAAAAGGTTTTTAATACAATGAAAGATGTAAAGTATTTATACTAGTCTCCTAAAGAAATAAACAAAAAACGAAATTAAAATCTCCTAGTAATGAAAATTTCTCGCAAAAAAGGAAAAAACGCGTCCTCGTTTTTAACTATGCGACCCATAGTGTTACTGAATGCAGTCGCATAGAACACTTGTGTTGTGACGTAAAATTCTCTGCCAGTATGCATGCGGTCGCATGCCTTGAGCAACTATGCAACCACATAGTTGTTATTTTGGCCTTTGTCTTTTGTTGCTTGTATTATGTTGATCCAATTCACTTTGACTCTTGACCCCAACATGAAAGTTGCTCCAATTTGCGTCCTGAACATGGTGTCATTAATAGTGACTTTGACAAGTATCCCCATCACCTCTTTAACTCGTTTCATGTCATCGGACCTTCTTCGATAGTCAACATTTCTCGGCTCGGAGTTGCCTTCTTGACTCCCCCATCTTGGATCATATCACTATCTCTATTTTCTCGTTATTTTATAACAACTAGTAAGATGCACGTGACATGATTTAGTTGAGTATGTAATATCGTATATACGGAGAGAAAACTATTTGTATTAGTATTGAAAATATTTGATAACTACGATAAAGTTTAAAATAATACTTTAATGTGTGAACAAAGGGTGATTTGTATATTTAAAAGTTGAATTTCATACACCATCATAGTTAAGTTACAAGCTACAAAGTATCATAAAGGGGGTCTATATTCCTGTTAACTTAGCCTGTATATTGATAAAGAATATAACATATGGTTAGCCCTTGAAAATTATAAATTTGCCAACCTAAAAGGAATCCAATGAAATGTGGAATATAAAAGAACCTGCCCAAGTATCCATCAAAAAACTGGTCAATAAGCACCTTGGGTGCCTCAAGAACCAGGCCATCAACTTGAGTGGGCTGCTTTTCGATTGAAACCCCACAAGCAATAAGGAGTGCGTTGTCATCATAGCAATAGTTCCTAATGGCCTGCAAAGTTTCAAGGTAAAAGAGAAACCGCAGTGATAAATAAAAAGAACAAAAGTAATTAGCTGAACCACATACATCAGTTATAACTTGAACTTTGTCCCAATGCTTCCGAATTGATTTTTCAATTAAAGATGCTTTCTGCATTAGTGATAATGCTTTTGTGTATCTTTGTAGGGGAACGAGAGAGATCAGTCGATAGAAGAAAGAAAGCAAGAAACTAAGGTAGTGGTTGATTTTCATTTTCATTTTCAAAACGATTTTTAGTTTTCCGCGAAAACGGCCCATTTTCCGCGTTTTGAGCGTTTTCGACATTTATAACTAAAAACGCTGAAAACGATAAAAAGTCGTTTTGCGTTTTCAGTTAAATTTTAACTCATTTTCGAAAATGCATTTTCAAAAATGACAGAACAAACGCGTTTTCGAAAATGGAAAACGGAAAATGGGCCGAAAACAACAAATCAACCACGGCCTAAATTTTTGAAAGAGGCTAAGGAGTTGTGAAAGAAAAATAGAGATATTTTAGATTTTAGGACATAACTACATAAAAAAATTCGCAACTCCATTGGCGTTCAAATAATGCAAGTGAGATTCTTGAAATTTGTGATCAAGGGATCAACATATTGTTGGCGATTGTATATGTTATTTAGTTTAATATTTTTGAATGAAATTTAAAACTTTGATTTACTGGCTTTCTTGAGTTCGATTCAATCTCTTATGAGTTTCGTAGCTATTATTGTTACATGGGTTCGCATCAAGATGAGTGAGTTTCCAGAAGGAGCAAGCTTGGGTTTTCTATGGTGGAGTTCGATGCAAAAAGGAAAAAAAGAAATGAGATTCAATTTGTGTGGCTCAGAATTCAAAGTGGAATGAAGACGAATACAGCTATGTAAAGAGAAATGGAAAGTGAGATAGTTGTGTGAGTGTGAAAGCAAATTACCCTGCAAGTTTTCAATGTTTGGAGAAAAAACAAGGAAAAAAAGGTTGGCACACAACTTTATGAACAGTGCCAAAACAAAATCTCTCTCTTTTATATGGGACTTGCTGGACGTTCAGGCGCCTATTAGGTGCCCCCTATTGGGGAGTCATCTGTCAGGGTCGTCTGACAGTTTTATCCCTTTTATATTACAGGGATAATTTTTTGAGACTTACTATGTGTACAGAAAATCCATACATACACTTTGATGGAATATTACATGGCATTTTGCCATTGGGTTTTGTCCCAAGGAAAAAAAAAAAAAAAAACAGTTTTTGCAGTGAATCACAGTCTGTCAACACTGTTCTGTCAACAAAATGGGCAACCAATTCTGTACAAGCAAATAATTCCGAAATTTTTATGAGATTTTACACTACTTTCCCCTCAGCCAGTCATCCCACGAGTGCCACTCATCTAGTGAAAATTTTCTTAATTCCAGCCGCCTATTGTTCCGAAAATTTGTACACACTCAGGCTGTCTCTCTCTGGACCATATGTGGTCCCAGCGGATTCACATTTCTACATCCTGCTAACAATCATACAGGTACAACAAAGAACAGAACTGATCTGTAAATATTCTTTTTGTATAATATAATTAGATATATTCTGTGTGTGTATGAGTGAGCAGAAGACCTTTAAAGCATAAATTCTTTGCTATGGCAGCAACAAGTTCTTCCGATTCTTCTCTTCCCAGTCGAAGGTAATGATCTAAAGAGATATCTATAACTTCATTTCTTTAGTACTTGAATAAGCGTGCATTTACATAAGCAGGCTGCTTTATTTTTATCTGGAGCGGTTTGATTTTAGTTCTATGTTTGTTCACCTCCATTTTTGTGTTGTTTTGGTTGCTGGTTTATTGGGGCCGGGGGTTGTATTTTAGCCTTAGAGATCGATACAGCTATTTATGTTGTTAAGATTTATGTGAAAAATTCATACTCTTGGCTTTAATTTATCAATAGGTTTTAATTGAAAAGCATTAGAGTTTTTGATAGGTTGAAATTAGTGAATCACTTAAGAAAATTTCATGGCCAATGCAATTGAATTCTGAGTTTGTCCGTAAGTGGTGTGATTGAGGAGATTGAGATGAGAATCACACAGTGTCAAATCTTTCAGCCGTGATTTTGGCTTGAATATCTTGAACAATTAGGGCAAAGGGTGTTTTGGGTGTGTAGGGGTAGGGTGTTGTACTCTTTAGGAAAATTAAACTTGCTTGAACTCTATTAAAATAATTATCTCGTCCTCCCAAATGTTTGCTGAAACTGTATTTTAATGCTCTCTACTATTGTGGAACCTATGATATATCTGGCAGCTATTGTACCGATTGGATCCGGTGAGATTTCAACTTCTGCTAATAATATAAAGCTTATGAATTACGAAGAGTTGATCTTACGGGTGAAGTTTCAATCTGTTTGAAAAGCTCCATTCATTCTTATAATTGGCAGTCTGAATAAGAACATCTCCAAAATTTTTGGTCAGTGGATTTAGGTTTCTCACCAAAGAGTATATGATTTCTGTCAAATAGCTAGGATAGACTCTGCTTATAACAGGACAGAACGTCAATTTTCAATTTGGATTCTTGCGTTCGTTCAAAATCATTAGATTTTTAATACAGTCAGAGTGGGGGATAATTACCCCCAGGATGACATCGGTCATCTGATATAACTTATGGATTTAACAGGGTATAATAGCTTATCTAGTGGAAAATGTGTAATTTTTTTTTCAAATCTTCACTGACTTGTTAGTTTGTGTCTCACTCAAGATTTTCTTTGCTGAACTTAGGCATATTGGAAAAGGTTCTGGGAAGAATGAAACATGGTTTATTTCTTATTGTTCACCAATATGGATTTGGTTTAACAAAGATTTAAAGAAAGGTTGTCATCCTTTTAGAAAAAGGTTTGGCCAACGATACTGCATGTTCAAACTGGAATGTGGTAGAAGGTTTTGGATATGAAATTACCATTACAGCATTTGATTCTTTAGCCCTTTTGCAGCAATAACTGGAGCTTATAATGAATTAGTTTCATTCTTCTTCTTCTTCTTCTTCTTCTCCTTTATTTATTTATTTATTATTATTATTTTTTTAAAAAATTTTTTTCCCTCAACGAAATATGGTTTAGCCATCCCACCTTCAAAATCGTGGATTATATTTTAATTATAGATGAAGTTTGTGCAAAATAAACTGAAGTTCCTTTTCCGAATCTCAGCTGTTACATGATTTTTGGATACCTGTGATCTTTTTAAAATACCCCATTTAGTCTGTTCTCCTCTAAGTGAATATTTTCACTTTCAAAGCATGGACGTGTTTATTGTTTATAGATTTTTCGGTCGGAATATGGGAAGCTGGGTTTATTGTTCTTTTCATCTGGCTATATTACATTTCTAACAGCAAAAAACTGAAAATACCCATTGGAATTCTTGTTCGCCTTCATAATTGAGAGTGAGTTAAGTTTTTACTGGGGTTTATTCTAATAGTTATCTTCTTTCAGAGGCTGATGAGTCCTAATTTCTATGACCTGGAATCACTGATTTCGCTTTATATGAACACATTTCTTATGAAACCATTTGGATGTTTGCTTTGTTCTGGTGGCTAACAATCTATGGAGATTCGTACCAAACTTGGAGAATTCCAATTACCCTAGGTTATAAAACAGTTAGACACTTTTTAAAAAATGATAAAAAATCAAAACCACTTGAGGGCTGCTTGTTTCATTAATAATGGAGATAACAACAGAAATTAACTTATGAGGGGGCTTGACCTAACCTCCAGCAAGTGAAAAGTAAAATGCTGCAAACAAACTATGAGACTTATCCCACCAATGTGGGAAGTACAAGAAAAAATAAAGAAGGCTTAAAACTAGTTCTAGTATGAGTACTTCCTTCTATGTGTCTTCTCATGTGTTATGGTATACATAAAACTGTAGGTCTCATCTTTCGAATCATATCCATAGGTTGTAGGTACACTATCGAACATGTCTAGAATATCTTCGTCGTCGAAGATTGGTTGTTCTCCATGAAAAATATTTATCTTATTGTTGACATATTTTATTGATCTGCATAACCAAAACTTATTCGATAACCTCTCAGATTTTTATATTATGAACTCATCTCCTTTGACCGTCGAGTTAAATACATGGAAATTTTCGCCGATATGCCTTTTCACAATTTTTTGAATTCTAAATCAATTCAATTTTATTTTGTGATTATATTCCCTTTTTCTGGGCGAGAATAGGTCAAGTAACTAGATATAAACTTGGGATCAATTGTTGTAAGCAGGTCTGGTTGCAAAATCAACGTCTCATCTCTACACTCCGAATGTTTATCGTTGAACCTGTATATATATCAAAGATGACCTTGGTTTTTCAGATTATTAGGAAAAGTTGCTTTGGTCACCGGAGGTGCTGCTGGTATTGGAGAGAGCATCGTACGGCTGTTCCACAGACATGGTGCAAAAGTTTGTGTAGCTGATATTCAAGACCACATTGGTCAGAATTTGTGCAAGACCTTAGGTGATGACACCTCTGTTTCCTTTTGCCATTGTGATGTGACACTCGAAGATGATATCAGTCGTGCAATTGATTTCGCAGTTGATAAGTTTGGTACCCTTGATATAATGGTTAACAATGCTGGGCTGTCAGGCCCGCCATGTCCAGATATTAGGAACTTCGATCTCTCTGTGTTTGAGAAGGTGTTTGATGTAAATGTAAAAGGGGTTTTCCTTGGAATGAAACACGCTGCAAGGATAATGATTCCAGCTAAGAGGGGGTCAATTATATCCATATGCAGTGTTACAAGTGTCATTGGTGGTCTGGGCCCACATGCGTACACAGGGTCAAAGCATGCTGTTTTAGGGCTCACCAAGAATGTTGCAGCAGAGCTAGGGAAACATGGTATCCGTGTGAACTGCATTTCACCTTATGCTGTTGCAACGAGTTTGGCTCTGGCTCACTTACCGGAGAACGAGAGGACCGAGGATTCAATGATTAGTTTCCGTGAGTTCGTGGGGAGGAATGCCAACTTGCAGGGTGTGGAATTGACAGTGGATGATGTGGCAAATGCTGTAGTCTTCTTGGCCAGTGATGAGGCAAGATATATAAGTGGGTCGAATCTCATGGTCGATGGTGGTTTCACATCTGCAAACCACTCTCTTCAGGTATTTAGGTGAAACTATGTAATATTTTTGAGCAAAATTGATTAGTGAAAACGGGACACTTACAGAATAGGTGTTTCACTGTTTATCTTGTTGCTATTACTTGGTAAATCTTACATATTTTTTTCAAGGGGCTAAAAATATTGAACATAATTATTCTTCTTCTTTAGCTGTGCTTCCTTCAAAGTTATTTATCATTTTTGCTATCCATATTGCCATGTTCCTGCAGTTTTATAAGCAGCAACTGTTGCAATCGATTCTATTTCATCATAAGCTTAAATTCTATTGTGATCTCCGTTTATACTTGAGGAAATGCTCTTTCAGTTGCCGTGGATGGCTTGAAGAACGTTCGAAGGTTAGAATCTTAGAAAAATTATCCTATATTTGTAATTTGTTCGAAATATTGTTAGGAATGTTTGTGAAAAGAATTAATCATCGAGTTAGGTCCTTTTAGGTCCTTCATTACTTCTAAAACCTGTCTGATTTTAAAAATGGAAATGGCAATGACTAGAGGTGGCAAGTTGCCCGACTGGTGTGGGCCTTAGATATTTTTGTCAGGGAAAATTACACAAGGTAAAGTATACTATTAAAAACTAAGGACGATAAGTTTTAATCTCACAAATCTGGTAACAATGAAGATATTAAATTTTTAATATACCAATTTATATATACCCTACTATAATATACCTACCCCACATCTCTCTCTATTGAGACAAGCGTGAATCATGATCCCCCGAAATTATTACAAAGATATTTATGACTCTCTTTACTGATACAAGCTTTCTCTCTACTTCATCCATCTACAAAACTTTTTATCTCTTTACTCACATACTCTCTTTATTGATGAATAGTGAATAGTAATTTTGAACTTTTCAGATAGTAATCCTGACTCAAAAATAGTAGCTTGAATAGTTACAATTTTTCTTAAAAAATATCTTAAAGAAAGATTATGAAAAATTTAAAGAACAGATGATACAATACAGAGATAATTCTTCTACATACAACCACATACGCACAAAAATAATACAACCATATGTATTGCGATGTGACTTTTCATCAGAGTCTACGAGGATGGATAATTGGATGAGGTAGAGTTGGGGATGAGGAGGTGGATTTGAGGTGGTGACCGACTTGGGTGGTATCACGGTGGTGAAGTTTTACACGTAATAGATGAGTTTGCTACTATGGAGGTGGAGGTTGATGTAGTGTATTTCATAAAATCTTAGCCTTTGTTTGAGACCCATTTTGGGTCAAAAATACATTTTGGAATAATGATTTTTTGGAGAATATGTGGTTAAAAAATAAGAAAAAGTTTTAATTTACATGTAATATTATTTTATCGAATATTTTGTAGTTGAAAAGAAGAGAAAGGAATATATTTTGACAAAAAATGGGGCTCAAATAAGGACTATATGACTGTCACCTATTGACTGTGTGTCGACATGTGTTTTGAGTCACAATTCAAAACTAATCTAGTCACAAACAATTATAATGAAGACAAACTTGCTCACAGTTGATCATAGATAATACAAGTCTTGTCACAATCAATAGCAGCATACACAGATAATCACAACAGAAAAATATTTGGTTACGATCGGTTACAAATAACACAGACGTAGGCGATAGTTCACTAGACAACTTTGCGGACATCAGACATCATGTCTTTATTATCCTTAAGGACTTCAACTAATTGCATTCCCAAAAGCTATCCCCCATAGTCCCCATGGAAACAATTTCAATATTGATAGCTTTAAACAGCTGCAATGAATTCATCTGAACCTCATCCACATATTGGCTATTTGAGGCTTCCGATTTGCTTTACGAGATGGACGGCAAAGGTCCCAGTTTAGGGCAGTTCCATATGAGATACGATCCTTCACACATGAAGCAACTGTGAGATATAAAATTATCACTCTTCTTATTATCATACTCCTTCCTCCAAGAAACTTGTTTGTTGCTGCCGAGTTCGTAGTCAACTTTAGGATTTTACGTCCAATCTGGTTTACTCCATTGCTTATCCAATGTACTTTCTTATATACTTTTTGACTCAAGGCTACAAGTTCTTTTATTTTTGTATCTTTCATTGCAGTCTAATATTGTATGTGTGAAAATGAATACTACATTAGAGGTTAGAATCCCTTCAGAAAAACTCTTTGAACAAATCAGATGATTGAGACGATAAAGTTAGAGATTGACGAAAAACTATTGCTAGTGGACTTATACTTTTTAGCGATGAAAGATTTCGATGTCATTTAGGCTTGGATTGGCTAGGATACAACCATGTGAGGGAGAATGCAAAATCAAAGAACATAAATAGGTACTCAAAAAAAGGTATTATTACACTAGGATCTTGCTCAACCTCATGCTAATTCAGGTCAAAACTCTGGTTTTCCCTTTCTTGTTCTTGTCCTAATCATTATCTTTCTTCTTTGGAGGCTCCATACAGTTGAGAGTAATATGCCTCGGCTTATCACACTGAAAGCACATGTTCTTCCCAAATAAGTATTCACCACTGTAGAGTTTATTACACTTAGGACAAGGTGTAATACTCCTACACGTCCCACTGATACGAACTCATGTGTTTAGTCTTTTATTCAGCTAGTTACATTTGTCCTTACTTCGATCATTCCACTTTCCTTTTTCCAATGCTCTTTGCTCTGTTGGGCATATTGCTCAAATGTAGTCATCTGGTATGAAATGGCACGCACCATTTCTAACATTTCACGATATGAAGTGAAACGATGAGACATAATGATCACGTCGATCTCCAAGCGTACTCTATTTGTCGAACCTCTTGATTTTCTAAACTTCTGTATCTATCAGTGTGGGGCATACCTTGAGAGGTGCTCAAACTATCTCTCGTTATCAGTAAGTGTCATGTCTTCTTGTTTGAGATGCAGAAACTCTGATTCCTTAAAATCTCTCAAAGCCCGTGGAAAATACTTTGACATCACTTCATCCTTAAATTGCTCTCAAGTCAGGTTATACTGCTTCTCTTAAGTTATCGTAGTGAGATAGATTCCCACCAATTATTGTCTACTCCAACAAAAATAAACTTTGTACATTATACCTTCTGTGCATGTGTACGAGCAATATGTCGAAAGATACATTCTAGACCTCTATTCCGTTCCTTGACAGCTAGTAGGTTCGAACCGCCGTCGAAAGTAAGAGGCTTGTACCTACGAAACAATTCAACCAATGAGATAGCTCTAGGGACAAAAAAGAGGTGCATTTGGTGGTGGAGATGCTTGATTCAATTTGCTCAGCTCTTGTACTGCTCACAATAAGTCGGGCATCATATTAGTGTGGGTAGGTGGTGCTATTGCCTAAAAATTTAATATTAAGTCACCCGTCACATACCAATACTAAGTCTAATATGTTATACTTATATTATCGTAATACATGTCATAAATTTTAGCGAGAAAACAAACATGCAGGTCTTAAAAAGTTTAAAAGTAGTAAATTAATAAGATTTTAGTTATACAAAAAGTTTGAATAAATTCATCTTTTTATTTCTTTACATACCTTAGAGTCATCAGATGATGGTCGATGGATGGTCATTGAGTACCAAAGATCTTTCACATTCTTACATATATAAGAACTTTAAATTTACATCATCATTCAATTCAAAACATTCATTTAAAATCCTTTTTTTTTCACCATTTAGATGAATGGAGTTCACTGTTCACAGTAAAATTATTATTATTTATGTAAGCTCTGTCACTAAACTGTAACAATCCAAATTTAATAATTTAAATCGTTATCAAATTTATTTATTTCAACAGCTTACGCACATCAAATCAACAAGTACAAATTAATTAATAGAAGGAACTCATAACAAAATAGAATTTATTCAAAATAAATGTTAAAAACCATGCATATCACATTTTTTAAACAAATAATAAAATATTAATTCCACTAATATAGCTTAACATCTATTGAAATTTATAACCAAATAAATCCTGTCTTAAATTGTGAAATAAAAATCCTTATGAAATAAACTAGAGATAATGAAGAAATAAAAAATGTTCTGTAACGTTACATTTGATTAAATTTATTAAGTCCAAATATTAATTCCACTAATATAGCTTAACATAGATTGAAATTTATAACAAAATAAATCATGTCTTAAATTATGAAATAAAAATCCTTATGAAATAAACTAGAGATAATTCTGAAATTAAAAATGTTCCGTCTCTGACTTATATTGACTTAAGAATGGAATTAAAGATATGATCGATGATCAAGATTGACACACTTTCATATCTTGTAAATGATCGAATTATATTAACAAAGATATTATAATTTTCACTGTAAATAAACAAAACTGGTTGTCATATCACATACCGAGATTGCTAGCAAGCAAGCTTTGGGAATGCATGAAAGCAAGGTGGTAGTTGAACCTAAAAAGGCTGGTTACACGTTCCACTATGTCGAGATGTGAGGTGCAGATGGTGATGATCACATTTTTCATTGCATGTACTATTCTATCATATAGCTAGATGTCAATTAGAGACGAATATAAAGCAATTAAAATGAGAATATAATTTATCGATTGTGATAAATTATAATAATTATTCACGTTATTGGTATCGTGATTGAGAACCTAATGGGCCATACTTAAAGGATATCTAGAAGAATAATGTCACTAATTAATTAATTAACAAATCTTAGATATTTGTATAATTAATTGAGTTGCTAGTTAATATACCCAAGTTTATTAATTGGATTAATTAATTTATGGACCAAATTTAATTAATTTAATTAATTAAATATTGGACCAGGTTAAGTTTAAGGGACAAACCAACCCCACTTAAACTTGTATTAATAAGATGTTAAGGTTAACAAAAGAAAAGAGAAATCTTAATTCTTTCATTCTTGTTTCCTACGTGGATTTCCATTGAAGTTTGGACAATTAAAAAATTGTGAATTGTAGATCTTGATTGTTTGTGTTCAAAATAAGCAATTGAGTTTGCATAATCCAACAAAAGTATAATTCCAATCATAGTTTCTATCTAAATATAAAGAAGATTTTTGGGAGGAATTGAAATACTATTTTAAAAAATTCTGCTGTGCATATAAATTTCCGACATTAGCAACATCAACATGTGTTTACATTTTGGACGAGTTGGACACAATAAAAAAGGGTAAAGCCACGCCAA